ACTAACAAATGTAAAGCACTTGATATACTGTAAGCATTCAATGAATGCTAAATTACGTATTTAATAATATTACTTCATCCCTAACTCCAAATTTCAATCTCTTCCCTACTCAGCAGCAGCACGTTTATTCCCAACCATGGTATAAACTTGGTTTGATTACCATTTGCTTTGTACACATATGTGAGTGTTCATGCAATTAAATCTTTACCACTTTTTCAAAGTTTCACCATTTTTTTAAATAAAAAGGTTTTGTGGCTTCAACAAAGCTTCCATCTTTAATTCAGGCCATAAGTGTGAAGTAAGTGATAATCAGATAATCTAGATAGCCTTGAGTTATATCCCTGCTGATAGAGCCCGGAAAAGTTATAATACCTTAATAATAAATATTCAACAGTAGCAAAGTTTGAGCCTTCTTTCAGACCTACAGACCAAGCTCACAACAACTTCATAGTATATTTTTCCAGTAGAAACAATCTGCCCTACAAGATGGTTATGTTTATACAGTTTTCTTATTACTCTTTTTTATAATATTCTAAAATTGCAAACAGACTACAAAGTACATGAGAGACATTATAAAGTCCCTAACAAAGTACTAAACTTGGAGTTGGAAGACCTGAGATCAAATCTCAATGCCACCATTCACTAGCTGTGTGATATCCATTCATTTATCCATTTGGTAACTATTTATTGAGTACTTATTATAAGCCAGGCAGTATTGGAGGCTCTGGAAATATAAAGATGAACTATATTTAATCTAGATTTTTTAGGAGGTTGGAGGAACAGTGGATCATGGTGAGTCCCTGAGTGATGCAAACAGTTAAGCACTCAGCTACTAACTGAAAGGTTGGCAGTTCAGATCCACCTCGAGGTGCCAAAGAAAGGCCTGGCAATCTAATTCCAAAAGATCACAGCCATCGAAAACCCTATAGAGCACAGTTCTACTCTGACACACATGGGGTCATCATGAGTTGCAATCAACTTGACAGCAACTGGTTTGTTTTTGCTTTTTTTTTAGTGGATCACGGAAGACTTCCTAGAGGAAATGATGGCTAAGCTGATATCAAAAAAGAAATGTGAGTTAGCCAGGCAACAAGGAAGAAAATATAAGAACACGAGTGGTCTTAGAAAGAGTGTGGCTGAATCATAGCATTTGAGAAGGAAAGTGAGGACAGATGAGGCCAGAGGATTAAACACAGGCCAGACGGTGAAGAGCCTGTGAGCTATGTTAATCTTGATCTTGAGAGCAGCAGGGAGTCATTAAGTTGTTTTATAGAAGGAAGGAACATGATTAGATTTATTTTTTAGAAAGATCTCTGGCCAAAGTGCAGAGAATGGATCACGGACAAGTAGAGAGATCTACCGGCAAGCCTTTACACCAAGAAAGAGTAGGGACAGTGGGGACAAAGAGAAATAGAAGAGATATTTAGGAAATAAAAAAGGGGAGGAACAAAGAAAGTGAAAGAGCGGAATCTAGGCAACTAGATGGATGATCGTGACATTCACTGATGAAGGGAACCCGAAAATATAAACCGATCTGTAAGGAAATGAGATCAGCTTTGAGTGCGTTGAGCTTGAAGAGACCATAAACAAGTCATTTGGGACCCAGTAGACTATGAAAGTTGGATGAGATGATCTCAAAGATTCCTTCCAGCTCTGTCATTAAAGTCTTAGATGTACAGATTGTTAGAGAATTTTGCTAAGGAACAACTGGCTTTAGAAAATAAAAAAGTAAATAAAGTAAAAATATATGTTAAAATACAGTGTTTCTGGAAAGGATGTGCTTTGTGAGCAATGTTAGGAAATATTTGCTTAGAATAATCTTTTGCATGGGCATAGACAACATGAACATCTAACATGCTGAGCACACTCCCTATTTAAAAAATTGGACAGTGGAGGTACATTCCATCCTAATATTTCTACAGTGGTGACTTCTTCCTGTTCAGAATAAACACACTAGTCTGAGTTATTTTGGTAGACTTTCTGGACTCGCTCTAGAAACTTCAGTTGCAAAAGATGAATGGTATTTTGCACTAGTGTTTACTTTTTTCTTATACAGTTATTTGCTCATTGGTAACCTTTCAACAAGGAGCCCCGATGGTGTAGTGATTAAAGCACTTGGCTGCTAACCAAAAGCTCAGCCGTTTGAACCCACCAGTTGTTTCACAGGAGAAAAGACCTGACTATGTGCTCCCGTAAAGATTTCAGCTGAGGTAACCCTATGGGGCAGGTCTACTCTGTTATCTAGTGTTGCTGCGAGTTGGAATTGACTCAACAGCACACAACAAGGACAACAAAAACCTGTCAGTAGCCTAAAGCAGTGGTTCCCAACATCAGCTGCATATTAGAATCACTTGGAGATTTTCTTTTTTTAATCTCCATGTCCAGGCCACACTTAAATCAGTCTCTGGGAATGGGTTGCAGTGCAGTCAAGGTTGCAAACCACCGGCCTAAAACATCCTTAATGAGCAAGTCTTTCTGTTTATAAACAAACAGTCACACTGAGAACAGAGGGTCAACAGGTCCAGCAAATTCACTGATAACAAATAGACACCAGCCAAATGCTGATGTCAACACAGTTTTCTGAAGTAGAACCCTCAGCCCAGAACTTTCCATGTAAGACTCTTGGCAGGCATCAAAATGGACCCTGTCATGGTTTGAATTATGTCCCCCCAAAAAAACGTGTGCATCAGTTTGGCTAGGCCATGATTCCTGGTACTGTGTGATTTTCCTGTATGTTGTAAACATGCCTCTATGATGTTAATGAGGGAGGATGGGTGGCAGTTGTGTTAGTAAGGCAGGACTTGATCTACAAGACTGGATTGTGTCCTGAGACAATCTCTTGAGATATAAAAGACAGAAGTGAGCAGTAAGACAGGGGGACCTCATACCATCAAGAAAGCAGTGTGGGGAGCAGAGCGTGTCCTTTGGACCGGGGTCCCTGCGCCGAGAAGCTCGTAGTCTGGGGGAACACTGATGCGAAGGCCGAGAGAGAGAGAAAGCCTTCCCCTGGAGCTGACACCTTGAATTTGGACTTTCAGCCTACTTTATAGTAAGGAAATAAACTTCTCTTCATTAAAACCATCCACTTGTGGTGTTTCTGTTATAGCAGCACTAGATGACTAAGACAGACCCTCTGCTCCATCTTCTCCTCCCCTATCTCCACCACCGCCTTCTCCTGTCTTGCAATGCTTACAGAATCCTTCCAATCAGATGAAAAGTGGTCAAGCATCTCAGAACACTGCAATAACCAGCAGGCGGATTCCAAGAATAGTCATCAAGCCCCTGTTTGACTCCCTGGCCCGGTGTGATGACCACCAGAGCCCTAAGCATACTGTTCATATAACTGTAGGGATTATTGAGACTGGTAAGACTCATCAGAGTATTTAGTCCACTGCCTGTGTTACAATGGCAATCACAAGGGCTCTCAGCTCTGCTTCTCAGTGGTGAAGAACCCACACCAAAGAGACTGTATGGCCCCACATCCAAGAAGGGTACTAAATCCCAGGCCCCAGGATTGACTTAGTGGTATCATCAGCCATATGAATGAGCGAGACCACAAAGAGTCCCACTTTCCACCTGTTTATTCATGTTCCATTTGAAACCTATGTTTACCCTGCCACCACCCGCATGTATACTCCAACTATACCTCTGCCTGGGCTCTGCTGCCCAGGCTGGAGCTCTAGATACCAACTCACCTACTTGATTTTTTAGTCAGTCCTTCCCTCTAATTTGAGGTGAAATTCTGTACTCTGATCTGAATCACACACCGTAGTGGTACGTCCCTGTACAACACACTGGCATAATCTAGATATTCTGAGGATGTACGGAACTGGAAATCTTTAGCCCCTATACGCTAAAAATCCCTCACCTTCCATCTTCTACTTTGTACTTCTACTGCCCAGGAGCCACAAATGACCTTATCCCTAAGCCTAGAGGCCAAGAGAGCAAGAACCATCGCAGCGGAGTACTCATCTAGGTTGTGCTATTCTTATGCTTCAATACCATATTCATTAATACTCAAGACAGTGATCCACATTCCCACCCATCATTTAATAATCTATCCTTCTGTTAAAGTGTACTATTTCAGAACAATTTTACCATTAGCCCTTAGATCTAAACAATAGTTGTTATGGATTGAATTGCGTCCCCTGAAAACATATATGGTAAATCTTAACTCCTATACCTGTGGAGGAGCCCTGGAGCCCTGGTGACACAGTGGTTAAGAGCTCAGCTGCTAACCAAAAGGTCAGCAGTTTGAATCCACCAGCTGCTCCTTGGAAACCCTGTGGGCAGTTCTACTGTGTCCTATACAGTCCCTATGAGTCCAAATCCACTCAAAGGCAATGGTTTGTTTTTTGGTTTTATACCTGTGGATGTAATCCTATTTAGGAAGAGGGTTTTCTCTGTTATGTTAATGAGGCCATTGTCAGCGTAAGGTGTGTCTTAAACTAGCCACTTTTGAGACATAAAAGAGCAGATTAGGCACAGAAGAAAGCAGACTCTGGAAGATTGACACTATAGGAAGACGGTAGATGCAGACCAATCTACAAACCCAGCACACAAACGTTTTTCTCCAGAGTGGACAGAGAACCTTCCCCTAGAGCCGGTGCCCTGAATTCAGACTTCTAGCCTCTTAAACTATAAGAAAATAAATTTCTGTTCGTTAAAGCCACCCATCTGTGTTACTCCTGTTACAGTAGCACTAAGAAACTAAGAGTCACTCATTCCATATAAAGCAGAAAGCTGCTTTCTTAAGAGAGAGGAACAAGTCTGCCTCTTCATAAGGTTAGACTGCATACAAGCACAGAGGCTGTGGTGGTAGTTTGGAAAGGGAGGTGGCCTCAAGACAAAGAAAAGCATTTGGGATTTACCCACAGGCCTGGTCACTGCAGGAACTGGCAAGAAAAAAGAAAGGCATCATTAAATTTGAGGTGAGTCTTGCAGTAAGTATGACAAATCTATGTTGCCAGACATGAACTCAGGGAAAAAGAGACACTCACCTGCTTACAGTTTCCTTTGTGTAGGCCAGTTTCTAAGAAAAACAAAGATAGAAAAATGACTAAGCTTCTAAAGACAGTTATTAAGCAGTAAATAAAATGTGTTCCAAGGGTACATGAACTTCCTAGCATTGTAGAATCCATGTTTTCTATTCTCCGTGGTTAGACAAATGGTTAAAACAAGATACTAATGCTGCCAAATTTGCTTTGAAACTGTGGAAATGTCCCAACATCAGTCTCTGTTTATGTGCCCAAAAGTTCCTGTGCTCTTTCTTAAATGGGCACAAATTAAAAATTCTTACCTGCTAATATTCCAAAAATGTCTGCAAGTTAGAGATTAACCTGCCATGAATTTAGAATCAAGTTATTATGTGATCTAACATATTTACAGTAATTTTCATCCTAAAACAATATAGACTTGTGGATAAAATAACTGATAAACCTGTTTCTCCAGAAATCAGCAAAATGATACATTGTAGCAATAATTCGATTATTCATCTGGGACATTTCAAAGAAAACTGTCCCCAAACTTCCTCTAAATAGTTTTTATTTTGAGGCCAATATGATGAAAAGAACACTGACTTAGAATCAGAAGACTTGGTTTCAAGTTCTGTTTTTTCCTCTTTAACTATATAGGCAAATCTCAAAACCTTTCTGGGACCAGGCCTCAATTTCCTCATCTGTAAAATGCAGAGGCTGTTACTCTAAACACTCTAACGATATGTATTAATAACTCACTGTTCTTCTTACTCTACAGACTCTCCTGGAGTAATCTCAACCACTCTCATGGTTTCGAATACTCAAGGCTGATTATTCACAAAGTTATATTTACAACCCATATTTCTCTCCCTGGATTGAAACCTAAATATCAACAATTCACTTTTCATATAGGCAGATCAAATCAACACATTCAAAAGTGAACTCATTGTCCCCATCACATAGCCCAAAGCTGCTTCTCAGCCTGTATTCTTGGTCTCAGTCACCAAAGCTAGAAATTGGGAGGCGTCTTAGGCCACTCCTTCACCCTACCCTACTCCCAATCCAATCCATCACAAAATCCTACTAATCTTGTTTCTTACTTATATCTCCTATGCTCCCTTACTCTATCTTATAGTATAGTTAGGGCCTTCATCCTCTCTGGCCTAGAGGACTGCAGCAGCATCCTACCTGGTCTCTCTGTTTCAGTCTTTTCTCCTCTAATCCATCCTACGGTGAGAGAAACCACATGACCTTTCTAAAACTCAAATCTCTAGAATCAGCTCCTGTGACTCTCCTGCTTACAACACTTCAATATTTTCTGATCATCTACAGACTCAAATCAAAACTTGTTAACCCACCCACTTTTCCAGTCTGATCTCCCTTCATTCCTACTCTAGCCTTCTGGTAGATTGTCCCCAAGAATTCCCTATAAACACATGGCTTATCTGTCCCTCTATCTAGAATGTCCATTCCCAATGCCTGCTATTTAGTTAACTCATACTTATCATTTAAAATTAAATTCAGGAAATACCTCATACCCTTTGTCTGCATGTTCTATGAAATAGCCATTGGAAGTGTAATTCCTATGCCTTCAAATCTAAACTTGCTAAAAGTTCCACTTGTAAGTGACACCTTCCAATGTAACATCTCAAAAACCTGTTGTTATGGCAATGCTAACTCTGAACGAGTTGTCATCAAGCCGGTTCTGACTCAAGGCAACCTCATGTGTGTCAGAGTAGAACTGCTCCATAGGATTTTCAATGGCTGTGATCTTTCAAAATTCGATCACCAGACCTTTTTTCTGAGGTGCCTCTGGGTGGATTCAAACTGCCACTCTTTTGGTTAGTAGCCGAGCTCTTAACCATTTGTACCACCCAGGGACTGTATAGTAATTCTACATGATATATATTTATGGTTTATCTACATCATATGTATTTGCAGTCTATCGCTTGAGACAGACACTGCTGATATAAATATTAATGTAACATATGTACGTGTGAACAGCACTGCAATTGGTAAAACTGGTAACGATTGACAAGGGAGATCCAGTGGTATGGGGGAAAGAACATGGATTTTGGAAAGAAAATCCGGGTCTGGATTTAACCATGAGATATATCTGGTTATATGACATAGGAAAAGGAACTTAGTAACTCTGACGCTTAATTTCCTTTTCTGCAAAATGGGGACATTACCACATAATTATAGAGTTGCTGTTTATTAGATATAATGTGTTTAATGGGCTTAATGCATGGCCTAGTACATGGCAGACACTGATTAAATGGTAGTTATGAATACAGAGAAGTTTAAAAAATGGCAGAGGAAAAACTACGCAATGCTTTGGCTTAAAATGTAAGGTATCATGATTAAAAGTTGATTTCATTTTAAAATATGCAAAAGCCTGTACACCTTCAAAACTTGGATACACTTATAAGCCTGAAAATTTCTATTGGATTCACCCATGTTTATCAAACATCCTTCTCTCCTCAACTTATCCTCTCTTAATGAGATCACCCTCTATAGAACCAAAAGTTAAAAGAAAACAGGAGCATACCTCTATTAAATATAAACTAGGAAGAATAGAATAATATATTTTATTACTTTAAAATGTACTAATCTGATTTAAGTAGACTCAAATAAAAATCTCAGTTATTCAGTCAGTAATTCTTTTCTCAGTCCCTTTAAGGTATATAATACTTAAAAAAAGTATTTAGAATAATTTTGTAAAGTTTAAAAATTACAGAATATAGGAAAAAGGCATTGTGGCTATTGCTTATGTACTTCTAATTTATTTCAGCAAACATCTATTGCATATTTACTATGTTATGGGAGGGCAAAGATGAACAATTAATGACATAATCCTTGCCCTTTAGTTCATAGTCCAGTGGAGGAATTAGTCATATATACAACAATAATAATAAAGTATAAGTACAATATTAAAGAACAAACAAAGAATTATGGGAGTTCAAAGAACTGTGGGATCTAACTCTGCTAGGCTGGAGGTTGGTTCCTCGCAAAAGAGGTTACCTCTAAGCTGAGGACGTGTAGGACTTGCACAGATGGGCAGGGGATCCAGGGCATATCAGACAGCACATGTGTGTGAACAGTTTCATTTTCCTGTCATGAGTACATACATGCTTTATGAAAAGGGACAAGTGGGCAGGTAATTTGTCTAGATGCATGTTTAGTTATCCTTTGCTATGAATAAACTAATGTCCAAAACAAGCTAGCAAATTCATTAATTAGAATCATATTTATACATTACTAAACATTTATTCAATGAACTATATTCACTATTTTAATTAAAGTCACAGGTATCCACTCTGAATTGATAATATATAAAACTTTGGCAAAAATGTTTGACTCTCATAGATTTGCTGAATATTATTTCCAAATACTTACATTTATAAACAAGGCTGAGGTGCTAACCTGGTTTAATGATGTTTAGTATAAAGGCCAGAGCTAGGAATATAAAGACTAGGCCACATTCTAGAGCAGCTCACTGGGATAGCATAATTCAACTAAAAAGAAATCCAGGGATTTGCCAGTTGGTCTTTCTTGTTTCAGGCCTTCGCCGTGGATGTGCATTTCAACAACAGTCCATCAATTCCTTCCTTTGTTACTACACTTACCTTCATGATTAAGCTTCGATGTTCCACAGACTGACTAAAATTTGTACCCATTTCAAATATACTCATGATTCCATCCTCACACAAATTCATCCAGTGACGATATTCCTCACGCCCAGGAAGTCGATCCCAAAAAGTCCTATAGGCTTCCCAGACAGCTTCCTGACACACTGAAAGAATGGACAGAAGTGTTTTTATGAAAAGTTTTACTTCAGGTTCTCATAATGATCATGGACCAATTCATTCAGACTCCCCTGAGACACTCTTGTCCACACTCCCTTCTGGAGGGACACATGGGAATGAGCCTCAGTCAAAACCCTTTTGTATGTCTAGTTTAAACTTTTCAGAAGAGAATTTGTACTTCTCATTCCCTTGGGAAGGGGACTGATTCACCTTCTAATGAGCAGGGGTTTTTCCCACCTTTTAAAAAAAAATCATGTTTATGTTTTTCAAAAGTGAAGTTGATGTGAGTTTACTATACATAATCCAGCAAGTTTCTTTAATAGGTGCTGTGATTTTAACATTACTTGATATTTACAGATGTCTTAAAGTCACTTAACTTCTCCAAATACCAGCTTTTCAGCCTTTCAAGATGATTTGGGAAGGGGATATGATATGCCTTGGGTGCCCTATAAATGGCCTGGAGCTTTTTTACAAAAATGCAGTGACATAAATGCATTGCATCAAATCCTTCAAAAATTTTTCATCACATACCACTACTAAAAATAGAAGCGTTCAAAACCTTTCTCAGAGCTCATAACAAAAAAACAAACAAAAAACCACTGTCATCAAATCGATTCTGATTCATAGCAGCCCTATATAACAGAGTAGAACTGCCCCATAGTATTTCCAAGGCTGTAAATCTCTACGGAAGCAGACTGCCACATCTTTCTCCCTCAGAGAAATGTCTAGAGGGAAGTGTATTAATGTTAGTGGTTTCAAACCACTGATCTTTTGGTAAGCAGTCGATCGCTTTACCGTAGGAACCTAAAATTACTTCATAAAATCAGGAAGGACGATATTCACCTGAAGTTATCCTCCCCAAGCCACTATATTTCATATTGGAAAACAGAAGATAATGATGAGTCTTTTTAATATCTAAAAAGAAAATTATTCAGGAAAAATATACTGCTATATTAAAATAAAAACTAATTCGATCTGTCTGCTAAATTATTCCACAGCATCAAATCTGAGGGGGAGCTAAACATGTTGTCTGTTAATTCTGTACAGCACTGAGCACATTGCTATTTTGTAACCATTTCAGTGAACAGATGCAGGATACTGTGGGCGATAGATAAATTGAATGAAAGGGAAGAGGACAATGATGAGAGAAAAGGAAGGATGTCAATGGAAAGAGATAAATAAAATTATTTTTCATTTTAAGAAGACTGAATATTTATCAGGCAGCATATTGATATATTTAAATAATTTCAATTCTCTTTCGATGAACTAACTGCATTCTTATTATTGCTGTTTAAAACTTTTGATCAAAGAGCATACAGAAGAGTTGAGCAGGACTGAATGAGGCAGAAGTGACCCACTTGCAGATTCATAGTTCTTCCTTTCTTCTTCTTGAAACTTCAAAATGAAAGTTTAGTAAACCCCAGAACACAACGCAAAGTTGAAAGTCTGGGTAAGTGAAAACAAGTAAACAAATGAAAAATGAATGTCTAGAGAGTCTGATAATGAAATGACATAATTCATTGAAAGTATACAAATATTGTGAGGCAAAAAAACTGTATATCCATAAGAAAAGGAAAAATAAATCTCAACTTCTTCTTCACACTGTACATAAAAAAAATCTGAACTGTAAAAGCAGCTAATACTATAAAGCTTCCAGTAGAAAACATAGAAGAATATCTGCATGACTTGAGGGTAGGCAAAGTTTTCACAAACAGGACACAGAAAGCAACAACTATAAAAGTAAAAAAAAAAAAAACTAATAAATTAGACTTCATCATAACCAAAATCTTCTGCTCATCAAAAGACACCATTAATGAAAATGAATAGGCAAGCCATACCTCTGGGAGAAAATATTCAAAATATATATATTTGACAAAAAACTGGTATCTAGGGTATTTAAAGAATTCCTACAACTCAGTAATAAAAAAGCAAACAACTCAATTTTAAAAACAGGTAAAAGATTAGAACAGAGACTTTACAAAGGAAGAGGTACAAATGGCTAATGAGTTCATGAAAAACTGCTCACCATCATTAACCTTCAGAGAAATGCAAATCAAAACATTTACACATAAATCAGAATAGCTGAAATATTTAAACAGAAAACACCAAATTTTGGCAAGGATGTGGGGCAACCAGAACCCTCATTTTTGGTAGGAGTGTAAAATAGTACAGCCCCTTTGGAAAAGATACTGGTAGTTTATTACATAACTAAATATACACTGTCTTAGTTATCTAGTGCTGCTATAACATAAATATCTCAAGTGGATGGCTTTAACAAACAGAAATTTATTCTCTCACGGTCTAGGAGGCTAGAAGTCCAAATTCAGGGCACCAGCTCCAGGGGAAGACTTTCTCTCTTTTACCTGATTTAGGGGATGGTCCTTGTCATCAGTCTTCCCCTGGCCTAAGAGTTTCTCAGTGCAAGAATCCCAGGTCCAAAGGACGTGGTCCACTCCTGGCTCTTCTTGCTTGATGATAATGAGGTCCCCCTCCTCTCTGCTCACTTCTCTCTTTTATATCTCAAAAGAGGTTGTCTCAAGATACAATCTAATCCTATAGATTGTGTCCTGCCTCATTAATGTAAAACAAAACGAAACCAGTTGCCATCGAGTCAATTCCAACTCACAGTGACCCTATAGGACAGGGTAGAACTGCTTCATGGAGTTTCCAAGGAACTCCTGGTGAATTCGAACTGCTGACCTTTTGGTTAGCAGCTGTAGCACTTAACCACTATGCCACCAGAGATTCCTCATTAACATAGAGGTTAGGATTTACAACACACAGGTAATTATATTAGATCACAAAATAGAGGACAACCACACAATACTGGAAATCATGGCCTAGACAGGTTGACACACATTTTTGAGGGACACAATTCAATGCATAACGTACACCAAACCTATGACCCAGCAATTCCTCCTAGGTATTCACTCAAGACAAATGTAGGCATATATCCACAAAAAGACCTATATTCAATGCTAAGGAAGCTATATTCATAATAAGTAAAAAATTAAAACAACCCAGGTATCCAACAACAGGGAAATAAACAAGAAATGATGATAAAGTCATATACAACAGAATAAAAAGGAACAAATTCATGCAGTAACATGAATGAATCTCAAAAACATTAGACTGAGTGTAAGAAGTCTTACACGAAAGACTACATAGTATTTTATTTCTATAAAGTTCTAGATAGGTGAGACTAAATTATGGTTAAAAAAAAATTAGAAGACTAGTTGCCTGGGGGTGGGGCAGTGTGGAGATTGTCTGGGAAGGGGCATAAAGGAATTCTCTGCAGTGATAATGTTCCAAAATTTGATAGAGGTTTGGATTACATTGCATTTGTCAAAATTCCCAAATGGTACACTTAATATTTATGTATTTCACTCTATGTAAATTTTACCTAGAAAAATTAAATAAACATTGAGCTTTAGTTAATGAAATTCTTGCTGAAATGTCTAGGGGGAAGTGTATTAATGTTTAAAACTTGTAAAATATATTCCAAAAATAAGATGGTTGGATAGATAGATATGTGATAAAGCTAATATGATAAAATGTTAACTATAGAATCTAGGTATTAGAAGATGGGTGTTTACTATATCATTCTTTCAACTTTGTGGTATGTTTTGAAATTTTTCATAACAAACTCTTAGAAAAGTATTCTCGTGTGCTGAAGAAATGTAGTTGGAGATAATGTGGGGAAGCACCCACAAGTAATAAAAAACCATACCAGATGTTATAGCACACCTTCTCTTTACCAGATTCATGGATTCACAGAATAGTAGCATAAGCAGTCTCTTACAAATTAGGCTTCAGGGGATGCCTCCCTACCTCCTAAAAAAGCTCTCTCAGCATTTCAAGGCTGGGCCTAAAATATCTCCATCAAAATTCATTCCTTTGACTTAAGCTAGTTCTTTGAAAAGATCAACAAAATTGACAAACCTTTAGCTAGAGAGACCCAAGAAAAAAAGATAGAAGACTCAAATTACTTTAATCAGAAATGAAAGAACTACATTAGTACTGACCTTATAGAAATAAAAAAAGATTATAAAGGAATACCATAAACAATTGTAGATAAAATGGGCAAATTCCTAGAAAGACAAACTACAGAAACTGAGTCAAGAAGAAATGGAAAATCTGAATAAATCTATATAACAAGTAAGCATATTGCATTAGTGATCAAAAAGCTTCCCACAAGTAAAAATACAGGCCCACATAGTTTCACTGGTGAATTCGACCAAACATTTAAAGAAGAATTAATACCATTTCTTCACAAGCTCTTCCAAAAAATAGGTGAGGAGGGAACATTTCTCAACTCATTCAATGAGGTCAGTATTACTAAAATACCCAAACCAGACAAAGCCATCACAAGGAAAGGAACCTAAAGACCACTATCCCTTCATCAATATGGGTACAAAAATCCTTAACAAAATACTAGCAAACTGAATCCAGAAACATATAAAAAGGAGTATACATCATGACCAAGTGGGATTTATCCCAGGAATACAAGGTTGGTTTAACATCTGGAAATCAATTAATGTAATACACCAGATCAACAGAATAAAAATAAAAATCACATGATCATTTCAAAAGGCTCAGAAAAAGAATTCAACAAAAGCCACACCTTTTCATAATAAACACTCAATGAACCAGGAATAGAAAGTAACCTTTAATCTAATAAGGTGGAAACAATTATTTATCAACTAATGAATAAATAAACAAAATGTGGTATATACAAACAATGGAATATTATTTAGTCATCAAAAATGTTCCTCAACAACATGGATGAACCTTGAAAACATTATGCTAAATGAAAGAAGCTAGTCACAAAAGATCGCAAATTATTTATTCCATTTATAGGAGCATCCAGAATAAGCAATTTTATAGAGACAGAAAGTAGACTGGGGGTTGCTTAGTGCTGTGGAAGATGGAATAAAGAAAGATATCTTCTTTTTTCCTTTTGTCTTAAAATAATACAAATTCATTC